TCCTTTGGAATCTGAGAGGAAAACAGAGGAAACTCCTACTCTTCGGAATAGTTTCCTATTCATCTAAATACCATAGTGTAGTAGTAAATTCTGTCTAAGCTTAGAAGTACCTTTTAACCTGAATCCGCATGCTATTGATGTATGTTTGGTGAGGCTTTTGGTATTACTTTTTATAATAGTTCCTGGAACTGGAATCCAGTGTTTCATGCCTGTTAGGGAAACTCAACCACAGAGCTAAACTGTAAACCTTTTTATTTACTTATTTTTTTTCTATTTTTGAGACATGGTCTCACTTTGTAGCCTGTGGTGGTTGGAACCTTGCTATGTAGAACTGGCTGGCCTGAAACTCAGAGAGACCCACTTGCCTCTGTCGCCTTAATGCTATGATTAGAAATCTTTGTCATCATGCCTGGTCTTGCCTGTCCTGTTGCTATTATTCTTGATATTGTACCCTTTTTTCAGGACAGGGTTTCTCTGTGTAGCCCTGACTGTCCTGGAACTCTCTATATATAGACCAGGATGGCCTCAAATTCAGAGATCTTCCTGCCTCTGCCTCCCAAGTGCTGGGATTTAAGGCATGTGCCACCACTGCCCAACCAAGATTATACTTTTAAAAAGTCAGTTTCTGGAGATTCCACTAGTTTCTCTATTATGCTTTTTATGTTTTTAAGTCAGTGGCACTAACCTATGTTTAATAATTTAAGGGAAAAATACTCTTCAGCAAAATTTGAAATCAAACAATCTTTTAAATATATGATCATGTAAAGCCTTTGAGATTGCATTTCAAACAAGTGATTAAATTAATTTTCCTATTAGTGTGTAGGAATACTTTAAATGTGAATGTTTCATATTTCTGAATTTTGCAAATTTAGTCTCATTTGGGGGTAGCTAGTTAATTATGTGCACCTCTAAATATAAAAGTAAGGAAATCTAAGTGCTAAGACACATACCTTATTTATGCTTAATTATGTTTCAGTATGTCTTAATAGTTAACGTATCCTTGAATATAGATTTTTCTAAACTATCAATAGTTTGTGAGCCTTGTGTAAGAGCAGTATGATCTTTTAGCATCAAAGTATTTACAAATGCTGAATAAATATTTGCTGAACCATCCAACAGTCCTTTTTTGTAAAAAAAAAAATACATTGTCTACAAAGAAATGCTAACATTCTCTCACAACAATGTGCCTTTGCCAATGAGTGAAGTTTTTATTTTAATTACAATCACATGAAATTTAAAACAATAGTGCTTACTAAGATTATCTTCTTTCCTTCAATACAGAAAATATCTTTCTGAACACTCTATGTTCTATTGTTAAGCATAAAATTCAGGAGAGCACATTTTATTTTGTTTTTGTCTAACAGTTTGAAAATTCAAAGTTATTTTGTCAAATCCAAGTTATATTTTCTAAATTTCACCTTTCTCAAGTATCCATATTTTCTCCTCTAACATTCTATAAACAACATTTATTAACTACAAAGCCATTTATATATTCTTAGCCTTGTTTTGTAGGTTATAGTTTATGAAAAACATTCTTTTTAAATTTTTGTCAAAGGAAGGCAAATTATAGTAAGGTGGTGGGTGGATAGTTTACTTTTAACCTTAATCATAGTGAACTATAATGTGAAAACGAAGCATTTGCTCTGTGGGATTCTGGAATGCTTGTTCTGACCTTCAAACAGTGTCCTTTTTCTTGGGAGAGGGATTGGCTTCTTTCACTCCGACCACACAGCTCTGGTTGGAACTTGAGTGCTTTTCAATTACACAGCTTCCACAGGCCAAAGGTCCTCTACCCAAGGCAGACAGATCAAAATCCTTCCCCAGAAAGGATCATTTTTACTTTGTTGACTTCGACATCCTCTTCATGTTTGTAGAAGAGACAGTTGAACTCTGAGTCAGAACTGACTACTTACAAAACTAGTGATCATCGCCATTCAGTTTTATTGGTCATCACACATAGCACATTTCTGAAGGAAAGCTCCTAGGACTGTACACCACACAGAGAGAAACAGTCAAACGAAACACACATTTTAGTTTCCCTTCTTGAGTTATAGACACATTGCCATTTGGAAGTTAGAAACTGGATTTTTAAAAATGATGTTTTTATTCTAAAACAGAAAAAAATAATAACTTTTATAATAGAATGAAAACTCCTCCAACAGCAAGATATTTTGTATTTCCTCCATGGTGCTATGGTCAGAAACTAAATGAATACCTGTACAGACAAACAATTGTTAAATGAATGACAATCCAGAGCTTTCTGTACTGAGTTTGTACCGTTATGAGGAAGATACATATTTCTGTCACACAGATTAGCTGTCTCAAGGATGCCAAATGAGGCTTAGGGGCAAAGGAGCGAGAAAGGAGAGAATCGAACACTTTGACCTAAACCCTGAGCATTTTAGCCCTTACAGAGCACTTAGAAACAAAAAATTATCTGAAGTTGTAAAGCCGAACGCTTGGTGGCGCTGCAGGCTAAGAAAACGAAAACCTGCAGACTTCACGCCTGTAAAAGCGGAGCCATTTCTTGCGGCTGAGAAAGGAAGCTTTTTAAATTTCTGCCGATAGATCCTTTCAGAAAGGCAGATACACCGTGTCTAAAAAGAAAAGAAGCTCAAAATTATTGAGCCAAGATTCCTGAGCTGCTCACAAAGCAGTTCTTGTGTGATTAACTGCTGCGTCTTTTGGACCTGAGGGACGATGGAGACACCACTCCACAGGGCACTACAGAAAAGGCAAGTGACCGCCATTGTCTTTCTGTTACTATTGTGGGAGGCAGGCAGTGCGACCATTAAGTATTCAGTTCTAGAGGAAACAGACAGGGGCTCTTTGGTGGGCAACCTTGCAAAAGATCTGGGATTGGGCTTAAGGGATCTGGTCATCAGGGGCGCCCAGGTTCTTAACAAAGGTAACAAGCAGCTCTTGCAGCTGGAACAGAAGAGTGGAAATTTGGTCCTGAAAGAAAAATTGGATCGGGAGGAGTTGTGCGGGAGCACAGACCCGTGCACCCTCCATTTCCAGGTGTTACTAAAAAACCCAGTGCAATTTATTCAGGGGGAAATACAGCTCCAAGATGTAAATGACCATGCCCCAGAATTCATGGAAGATGAAATTCTCCTTAAAATCCCTGAAAGCAGCCATCCAGGGGCCAAGTTTCCACTGACAATAGCTCAAGATTTGGACGTCGGTAGCAACACAGTTCAGAACTATACAGTCAGCATGAACTCGAATTTCCACCTTCTCACCCGCATTCACAGCGACGGCAGGAAATACCCAGAGCTGGTGCTGGACAGAGCGCTGGACCGGGAGGAGCAGGCAGAGGTGAAATTAACACTCACAGCTCTGGACGGTGGGTCACCTCCCAAGACTGGGACTACACAGGTTCTCATCGTGGTGCTGGACATTAATGACAATGCCCCTGAATTTGCCCAGGAGCGCTATGAGGTGCAGGTTCAAGAGAACAGCCCTGTGGGGTCACTTGTCATCACTGTATCAGCAAGAGATTTAGATGCTGGGACCCACGGGGAGCTGTCCTACTCGCTTTTTCAGTGCTCAAATGAAGTCCTTCGGGCTTTTGAAATAAATACAGATACCGGAGAAATTAGAATAAGAAGACTATTGGACTTTGAGGAAATTCAATCTTACCGCATGGAAATCCAGGCCTCTGATGGCGGAGGTCTTTCAGGAAAATGCACAGTAGTAATAGACGTGACAGATGTAAATGACAATGCCCCTGAACTCACCATGTCATTACTTATCAGTGATATTCCAGAAAACTCTCCTGAAACTGTAGTCGCGATCTTTGGAATTTCAGATCCAGACTCTGGAGACAACGGGAAAATGGTTTGTTCCATACAAGACCGTCTTCCCTTTCTCTTGAAACCTACTGAAGAAAATTTCTACACTTTGGTAACGGAAGGCGCACTGGACAGAGAGAGCAGAGCTGAGTACAACATCACCATCACAGTCACCGACATGGGCACACCCAGGCTCACAACACAGCACACCATAACAGTGCAGGTGTCCGACATCAACGACAATGCCCCTGCCTTCACACAAACCTCCTACACCCTGTTTGTCCAGGAGAACAACAGCCCTGCCCTGCACATAGGCACCATTAGCGCCACAGACTCAGACTCAGGCTCCAATGCTCACATCACCTACTCGCTGCTGCCCACCCAAGACCCGCAGCTGGCCCTGGCCTCGCTCATTTCCATCAACGCCGAAAACGGGCAACTGTTCGCGCTCAGGGCGCTAGACTACGAGGTCCTGCAGACCTTCGAGTTCCACGTGGGCGCCACAGACCAAGGCTCTCCTGCGCTCAGCAGCCAGGCGCTGGTGCGAGTGCTGGTGCTGGACGCCAACGACAATGCGCCCTTCGTGCTCTACCC